GCTTAGGCGGTTACAGCGCCAATTAAGAAGAAGAAGAATGCAAATCAAATTACATTATCAGTATTTTTGCTGCAAATTTTTTAAGTAATCAGTAAAAAAATATGTTTACTGCAAATTTTTTCCAGTAATCAGTAAAGAAATATTTTTACTGCAATTTTTTCCAGTAATCAGTATAAAATTATATTTACTGCATTTTTACTGGTACTGAAAAGTGCCCATCTATGATACTACATAATACATACTACTACAAGTGCATACTATGTCAACGGTGTGCAAACGTGACTCTTTGCGTAGAAAAGCGCGGCTCTTTTTACTTTCTCTATGCTTAGAACATTTTGGCTCTTTTTACTTTTCAAAATACGTATTTCTTTGGACATTCTTTCCTTTGTGTTGTTTTTTATTTTATTCTTTTTTATACACATACGCAAATTGAGATCGGAACATTACCCGAAATTTGAGAATGGAAATAGGCTTTCTGACTTAATATTCTTACCGGTATGATGGAACATTTGCAAAACTTGAATTTGTCAAGGAGAGAATGAAAATATTTTTGATTTGTCGCAAATTATTTTAAGTTTTGAAGCTAAACTTCGTCTTCTTCTTTATTGGCTCTGTAACCACCTAAGCGATTTTGGCCGAGTCAAAAACAGTGCGCCAGTCATTTCTCTTCTGTGCCAACTGACGCCAATTGGAAATGCCAAGGGAAGTCCAAGTCCCTCGCCACCTGGTCTTTACAACGCATCGGCCTTCCTCTTCCTCTGTTACCAGCATCGCAGCCCGCGTTGAATACTTTCAAAGTAGGAGTGTTTCTGTGCATTCGAAAGACATGGCCAAGCCAGCGGAGCCGCTGAATTTTACTTAGAAAAAATCATTTCCTTAAAACAAGAAAATAGTATCCTTATTTTAGAGTTACTGTTTTTTCCTTAATCTTGCGAAAAAATTGCTCTATTTGAGATGTTTTACTTAATACGGGTTCATGCTAAAAACAGGGCGTCATTTATTTGAGGAAGTAAATTTACTCAGATGCTTTCCATTTCCAGACAACCGGTCAGGTACGAGCATGATTTTTAATTTCGACCAAACTCAAATACATTGTTTGTTGGTCCAAATAATGAGACACGTATTTTTTCTTTTGGCTCGGAAAAATTTTTCTGCCGAATTAAACGCGATTTTGTTTTTCAGGCAAAAATCTATTATCGAATTCACAGTGAGAATTTTTTTTTAAAATGCCCATAACTTTGTCAAAATTTAATAGATTCCAACAATGTTTTTACTCAAATGTCAGTAATTCTTGTCACTTCAAGATAGAATGATATAATTATTGATTTTCAATATTTAAAATGTTTTATTTAACAATTAACAAAAAGTACAAATTTTTTTTTAAATTTAATTTCTCAAAAAGTGTATTTTTTTTTCTCTCAAACTTTTTTACCGGGAAAGAGACACATTGAACTACAATCAACCCAAATCTCTAATAGCGAAGATTTTTTTTTCTGAGTTATGATTTTTTATAGAAAATATACGTTTTTGTGGTACATACTACAATATTCTTATATTGTTTAACTAAATGGAACATATGTATGTAATATATCAGCAAAAAGTACAGCCGTGATCAGTTTTTGTGTATCAAATAGATATTAGAACACACTTTCCGCCATACAGTTTCGAAATACAAAATCACATTTTCCCGCTTTTTATAAGAGCAAAAGAGCAATAATGGCCGCCCGCTTGATATATTTCATAAAAAAGGAAGTAAAGCCCATGAGTAGTATTTTATCTGGCTTTATTTTACTGAAACATTCCAATTATGAATACAGGCATACATTTGCATAAAACGGAACGTATTTTAAACGAATAGCTCTCTAATTTTGCATACAGTGTAGTTCTGCTTTAAATTCCCTTCTGCAGAATACGCATAAAATCGAACGGTATTTTTGCCAATAACTGATAAGCGATTTATTGGAAATTAAAGGTAAATTGTTACTGTTAGCCTTCAATGCGATGCGCATATTTGTTCTCAGCATCTTAGGTTTTTCAGTGGTGGCGCAAAGGTGACAGGTAATAAGATCAACGGAAATAAGGTCAATTGACATTATAACCTTCTTAAAAACGAAATAAAATCCATTGACATTATTTCTCTTTCAAACATTAAATTTGCTTAGCTTCGCGGCGGCCCGCGTCACCGCGCACACCACGTCATGCTACGCCGCGGCCCCCCGGCCCCCCTTCCTCGTCTCCCGCCATGCAGTAACGCAGGTAGATTTATTTTCTGTATACGTTGAAATAAAATTTGTATATATTTTAAACATAGAGGGCTTATATTCAATAAAATACCCTCTATCTGCACACTTTTCACAAAGATGAGATTCTGATATAAAAATCCACCTAAGCTTTAACTGTCATCAGTGATATTAATGCTACCTTATATAACGACAGGTAATAAGTCCCAGATGGTTACTAAAATCGCAAATTAGTTTTTGTGCAAATTGCAGATAGAGTTTAATAATGAATTCAAGCCCTCGATATTTCACATTTTTATATTTCTAAGTTATTAGAAGTAGGGATGCCAACTTGGCTCAAACCGAGCCATTTGTCCCTATTTTACTTCAAATGGCACTTAATTTTTCAATTTGACACAAAGTACCAAAATGGCACTTTTGTAAAAAAAATTACATTTCAATACATTTTTGTGAAATCCTTTGCGTGCACTTCTTTTTCTCAACTAAATTTTCTAATTTATGAAGGCTATTCAACTGTTTTATCTTATTTTATCATTGCACTTTTGTTTGGAAAATGTAGCTTTATTTTATTGCTAAATGTGAATGATTAAAAGGAATGACACCTTTTTTGGCACTTTTATTTTTCAATTTGGCACTTTTTTATCCTCAATATGGCACCTCATAACTAAGGAGATTTGCCGGCCCTGATTGGAAAATTTCTGCTGTGTTTTGCGGCAACAACTTGTCTGCAGTAAAAAAGCATATAATTTGTGTTTCAAAAGTGTGTGAAAACCAATCAATTAACTTATATGATCTCGGTTCCGATATTAAATAATCAATAATTGTTTATACCCGCATTTTGGCACATTGGCTCGTTGAATGTGCCATCTAATAAATAGTGTCGTCATTCTCCTTAGCTGCTTTTAAATGATGTCGTCACAAATTGCTGGCGGAGACATGAATACAGTGTAAGAAAATTCTTTTTCTATAATTGTTTCCTTATAGAAAGGTTGGTTTCTTTTCCACCTTAGACATTCCGAATTCGTTCAAAATATGCTAATTTAAAACACAGAATTCTTTCAGTGTTCCTCCGGGGTTTTTGGTCATGGACTGTTTCTTCAATTTAATAGTGTTCACTTTATTTTTGTGGAAACGAAACATGTTTTGCAAGTTATGGATCATTTCTACACTCTTTCTCCAAATATTTCTCGTATTACAGCTGTGCGCAGGCGTTTAGTTTTTCACATCGTGTTTTTACATATTCGTAATTTAAATTTTTTTTATAAAATAAAATGGTGGTAGTTCATGATTGTGTGTGGATTAATATCACAACACTGAGGATTTCGCAATAACCATTTTCATCTGTTTAAAAACAACACTTACGGGGCAATGTTTATTGTAAGAACCTTTTTTTCTATAAATCGATATATTTTAAGCATTGTTGACGCTATTTCCATTTGAATGAGGAAATAGCGTCAATGACTTTATTTCCAAATTTTTGTTGACTTTATTTCGCACCAGGGTGGGAAATAAAATCAATTGACCTTATTTCCATTGACCTTATTACCTGTCACCGGCGCAAAAACGCGGACCGCCGCGGTTGAGCACCAACTGTGAATCTTTGAATAAAACATGAACATGTAATGAAGTACTGGTGTAGTTTAAAAGCAAGACCGTAGCATTATTTAAGATTTTTCAATTAAAATACAGTCCATTCCCTAATACATACCTTATAAACCTAATCTTACAAATTTTATATATATATAAAAAATCGCCAAAATTTAAAATGTTTTTTCTCAGAAGTGTTTTTTGAGTATACAGTCTTATAGACCATTCAATTTTACTGTAATAATGTGCAAGTTTCAATTGGCTAAAAATTACCGTTGATTTTTTAGANCCATTCCCTAATACATACCTTATAAACCTAATCTTACAAATTTTATATATATATAAAAAATCGCCAAAATTTAAAATGTTTTTTCTCAGAAGTGTTTTTTGAGTATACAGTCTTATAGACCATTCAATTTTACTGTAATAATGTGCAAGTTTCAATTGGCTAAAAATTACCGTTGATTTTTTAGAATTTTTTTGCCGAAGGTGTGTAACGCTGCTACTGAATTTTAAAATATGTAAATATTTTAAGGAATTTTAAAAGAGCACTTAAAAGGCGAAAATTATAGGTTAAATGGTAAAGCGGGTTTCACTGTACTTACCTGTACTTACATTATTTAAATGCTCTATATGAATGTACGATGTGGAGTTGGGGTTGTTTGTGTACCCACGCTGCAGAAATAATGTGATGATGTGGATGACGCACGGGTTGTTTTAACTGAGAGGGCGACTGAAAATTTTCGCAAACAACAAAAATGGGTAAAAGGCAGAATAACATAAATCAGCCGTGGTCGAGTGGTTTGTGTGACATCAAGGTACACACCGCCAATCGGAGGAGAAGCTCGGCCAATCATTTTAAACTTTGCACAGATTGCTTTGCAGAGCACAGTAGTCGTACTAATCTAAATGGAAATACCAGCATTTTCTGTCCAATTTGCCGTCAAATTATTCGACAAGTATTCATTACACTTTTTCATGTTCCTTTTTTTTGTTGAAACTTTGAACTATTTAATTTTCATACACATGTACATACATACATACATATGTATTAAATATATGCGTTGAAACTTGTTAATTTCAATTTCTTCGTATAATAAAGGAAGACAAATATTTAGTTCAATGTTATCATATTAGTTAGTTTTTATTTAGGACAGGATTTTGGATGTGCATATTCTAAAAGCCCACGGGCTTTATTTCATTTATTAGGAAATAAAGCCCACGGGCGTTATTGCCATATCGAAAGGGAAATCATGCCCACCGGCAAAAGGCAATAAAGCCCGCGCACTTAATTTCTTTTTCGTAAAGGCAATAACTCCTGCGGGCTTTATTTTTTTTTTAAGGAAATAAAGCCCATGGGCGGTATTTCCGCGGGCCTTATTGTACTCTACCTAAGTCAATTATTTAAATTTAATTATAAATTACAAATTGTAAAATTAATTTCATATATGGAAAAACCTAAATACTCAAATACCATAAAAAATAAATTATTATTTTTTTTAAATACAATTTAAAAAATTACACTTACCAAAATAAAAAAAAATAAAAAAATATTAAAAAAAAAAAAATTCCTGCTCTGGGACTCGAACCTTGTTTCTCTCGACTAGCACTCCAGAGCTCTGCTCTGTCGGCCTTTGCCACTGTTTGAGCGCCACGAGCAAAATTACAAACTTATTCCTTTCACGGGGGATGAAATGGCAAGTAAATTTTTCCTAAAAACTGAGGAATTGTATTTTCCTTTAACTGAGTCAAATCGTGTACTCATATCAAGGCAGCCATGTCATTGTGGGCATTTCAAGGTAATATTTCCTTAGAATAATATACTTTTTTCCTAGCATCGAGGAATGTATTTTCTGAGTGTGGCCAAGCCAGCGGAGCCGCTGAATTTTAATTCGCTGCACTATGTCTATATCGTTGTAAAGCTCATCGCCATCACCAACGCGTAAAGAAGGTCCGTAAATTTTTCGCAGAATCTTTCTCTCGAAAACTCCAAGAGCCGCTTCATCAGATATTTTCATTGTCCATGCCTCCGCGCTATACACCAGCACAGGCATGATGAGTGGAATGGAATGGAATAGAATTGTGGGTGACCGGAAAAACCAAAAACAAATTTTTCCGAGCACTCAAGCAGTATTGCTCATTGTACGTAAGGCCAAGAAACAGGATTTAGAGGAAAGGGATATGTAGGTGGTGGTTGCCAGACTCCTTTATGAATTTTAGCAATTTGTTGTAGGAAACAGAATGTACGTCGTCCATTCTCAGTACATCCGACCCAAAAATGTACCATCTGGCGAAGGCCGGACAGCGGCAGAGAAAATGTTCTGTACTATCCTCGTCCTCCAAACACGATTTTCACAGTGGATCGTCGATGATGCCTATGGTGACCATATGTCGTCCCCATGGATTGTGCCCCGTAATCAGTCCTGCCAGGGCTCTTAGATCACTCCTTCTTTGTCCAAGAAGCAATTTTGCTACCACCCTGTCAGGCCTTATCAGGAAACACTTGGTTGTTTTTCAGCTGTCAATAGTGCACCAACGGCTCTTATGAGTTTTGCTTATGAGATCCTTGATGCACCAGATCGTTCCCGCTACGCTTGGCCCTACAATTGGGCACTCCAGAGAACCGCAGTTCGCCAATTCATCAGCCAGTTCGTTACCTTGAACATTGTGGTGTCCTGGCACCCACACAAGGTCAAGCTCATTCCATCTTGTAACGGAGTTCAGCCCCAACTTAGATTCATGGACTAACTTTTAAGAGTTTCGAGCGGTTTCCAGGGCCTTTAGGGTAGCTTGGCTGTCACTGCAGATCCTGATTTTATGTCCGCGCCACCTTTCGCCAGTTATCCAGTCTTCCACTTTCAGTATTGCAAAGACCTCCGATTGAAAGACCGTTGTTATTGCACCCAAAGCGATAAAGATTCTGAAGTTTCCATCCAGATGTCATCCAACTCCAGTACCGTTTCCCGCCTTTGAGCCGTCAGTATATAAAGTTTTCACCGAGCTTCAAAAGAGAGTGTGTGGATCTCTCCATTGTTCCATTGTAGGAAATCTAACGACGTACTTTCTACCAAAGGAGGCTCTAAGTATCAGTTTGTCATTTCGTGCCAAAAAGAAAGCAGGCCCATGCGCAGACTGCGCAGACAGAAATACACAGTAAACTCATCCCTCTTTGTAGCCATAGATAAAAGCAGACTGTTCTAATAGTTCGCGAAAATAGTAAACAGAATTATTACTATATACCCTTTATTTTTATTATACATATATTACAAAGCGTGAATGAGATTTATAGTACATCAGAACTTATAATTATACTTAATCTTCTTCTACTTCTTTTTGGCGATGTAACCGTCTAAGCGATTTTGGCCGAGTTCAGCAAAGCACGCCAGTCGTTTCTCTTCTGTGCCAACTGACGCCAATTGGAAACGCCAAGTGAAGCCACCTGATCTTTCCATCGCAGTGGGGGCCTCCCTCTTCTCTACTCTCTCTAATTTCTCGAAATTTTAAGTTTCAACAGTGAAGTGGGTTCCAAGGCGCGAATGTGCTGACTGTTTGTTTGATGACAGGAGATACTTCGTCTTGTCCTCGTTTACCACCAGGCAACTCCTTTTAGTGCTGTCAAAAGCGGCTTTAAAGTCGACAAATAGGTGGTGAGTGTCGATCGGTTTCGCGCGGGTCTTTTCCAAGATTTGGCGTATTGTGAATACCTTGTCTGTGGAGGATTTTCCAGGTCTAAAGCCACACCGATAAGGCCCAATCAGTCCATTGACGGAGGGCTTCAGTCTATCACACAATACGCTCGATAAGACCTTGTAACCTATGCTTAGAAGGCTGATCCCGCGGTAGTTGGCGCGAATGGCGGGGTCACCTTTCTTGTGGATTGGGCAGAGCACTCTTAAATTCCAGTCGTCGGGCATGCGTTTACTAAGTTGCCAGTAAGTTCCAAAAAATTAATAACTCAGCAAATAATTCATCGTAGTTTCAAACGTGCATAAACGTTTTTTCAATGTTAGTTTATAAAAGCATTGCCCACTAGAGTTAAGACAATCTCTAGTTGTTATTAAAGAGAAAGTGTTTCTAATTAAAGTCTATTTCGACATTTTGTTTTGTATTAATTTTTATATGGAGAAGATCCTTTCAATATTGACTGAAGGATGTGCAATCGATAACACTCCTTGAGCGATGTTGTATTTGTTTGAAACAGTGGCTCATTTAAAATATTTTTCTTACTTTTCCCCAAAACTCGCAAATATTCAGATTGACAAAACTTTTTAAATCAAGGTGTTCAGCCCTAAATTCTGTGTTGCTGTCTTCTATTCTAGCAATTTCACATTTCTTAAACAATAAGTGTATAAGTGGAACAATGATTTGCATATTGACTGATAATACTTAAGAAAGGTTCAGTTTTGAAGCGCAAATTAGAACTTCGTCATTAAAATAATTTTTTTTTTCATAGTAAAACAAATGAACAATTCTGCTTCCGCTCCACAATAAACGTCTTGTGTATCAATTTTATGCGATTCTAAATCTATCACTTCAGAAATTAATCAAAACAGTGCTGTATAACTTAACGAATAAAGTGCTGCCAAATTTTGGCTACAGATAAAATTGTACTAAAAATTGCTGGGTAGTATCAAAAAAGTACAATTGTATCGAAATTATCAACGCTGGTAAAGAGTACTAGGGAGTACCCTAGGGGTCAAGGAGTACTCCAAAATTAACCATAATTCATATAAAAATTTTGTCGTCCAATTAACATTGCGATGCACTATATGAAATTTGAGCCTATTCTGTAGCCAAAAGTCAATTTCTTGACTTGGTTGAAATTATTATTTTTTTTGTCTTATCTTACAGAAAATACTTCAGAGTAAAAATCTGTATACTCTGTTTTTCGATAAATTGACTTACCCTCAAACAGATAGTTTCGAAATTTTCTGTAAACGAAAAATGTGTAGCTTGATTTTGTGCCACTTTCAAATGCGTGTATCTCGTAATGTATTTGCTGCTTTTCAAACGTGAAAAGTGGAAAGAAAGAGTGACGGTCAGAAGAATATTTTCCAATTAAAAACTGCATTATAGTTTAAAGGTTATGCCAAAGACACGTCCGCATTTAAGTGACTTTTAAGTGAAATCGTACAATTAAAAAAAGTTTTTTAGTGTTTTAAAAAATGTTTAAAAACGTTTAAAAAAACTCATCATAAATCGGTAGAATAGTCTCTGGTCTCTTATTTCCCCATAATCTTATACTGCGATTTTGTGCGATATTAAAGAAATTATGATTTTTCTTAGGTAACTACTTGGTACAAAATCATGAGTTTTATGAAATAGTTTACGGTGTTATAATTTAAAATTTGGAAAGAAACCTGTCAGATAACAAAGAGAAAGTTTAGACTTAAGGTCAGTGTAGGATTCGAGTCAATATTTAAAATAGAACGTACGAGGCATCTGTTTATTGGGTTGTGGTCCACTGGACCCCGTGTGACCATTACGCTATTTTTTTGGAGGTGTGACCATTACGGGTTAATTTTGGCGCGGCAAGGCCACTACTTCTAGATCTACTACTGGGCCAAGTTTAAAATTGATATCTCAGCTCTTAGAATTTTGGCCACAAAATAGGGTCAAATTTCCCATAGTGCGATGTCGCAGGGCAGGACCATATACTCCAGCTCTGCCTTACATCAGAGTAGCACAAAACTACTCCAACATATTAACAATGGAATTATTTATATATTTATTTGTTTGTACACGCTTTTATTCTTCACTTCACATATGCTTTTTCGCAATTAATAAAAACCAAAAACAAAAATATAAAATTACATGTTGGCTCTGACGGCATTCGAACCCGAACCTGCTGGGAGCTAACAAATAACAGCAAGCAGCAAGTTTAGCTACAGCCAGACATGCAAATGTGGTTTCAAATGCTCAACTTCAATCACATTTCGCTAGCAGTGATCGGGTAACAAGCTGGTCCAGAGACACGAGTTGGTCCACTAAAGCATGGCAGATGAGAACTTTTGTAAGTACTCCAATATACCACAAATAGACTGCATGGTCCAACGATTTTTGCAAGGCTTGTGCTCACCTACACAGACACAGTTTAACTTTTGTAGACCGCTGGTTTAAAACCCCAAAATACAATAACGCAGTGGCAGTGGCAGTGACAGTTTTAAAAATCAGCTGTTACTGCTAATATTGACAGTTACTACCGCAACAAACACGATACGGCGTTGTCAGTGACTCCTTTTTTAACATTCCCTTTTGTTTGTTTTCATTTTTGTTGTTGCCTTTTAGGCTTCAGTGACATAAACAGAAGTTGGCTGCATATCATGTATGCCAAATTCAACATGAGAAGTTTGCTGCGATGAAGGCACTGGCAGTTAATTTAGAATTTGGGCTAAACTGAGCAGTACAGCTAGCTCCCATTGCTGTATTGTTTGCTAAAAAACAGCTGATTTCGAAAAGCTGCTGCTGCCTCGGATGAGAGCCCCTTTTGATGACGACCACGACAAACGTTTAAAGGACTAAGATTTGAGGACAAGTACCAGGAATGTCCGCATCCTTAATGAGAAAGCTTCCTCTGCCCGACAAAAACTGGCAACACCACCATCCAATAAATACGATGGAAGTGGCTAGTAAGAAATGCCTGGGGCCTTGCGACGTCTACTACAGCGGTGGTAGGAGAGAGATTCCGTCGACGAGTACTGTCATTTAGCCCATGGACAAGCGTCTAGTCATAATCCGCATCAAAGCGAGATTCTTCAACACCTCGCTAATCTGCACGCTTTCCCCGACGGAAGAAAAGGACGAGGCGTACAAGGCTCTTTGCTTTGAGTCGCTACTCGACTCTCAAACCCGATCTCTCAGAGAGCACTCTTGAATAAACAGACAGATGCAAGCAGTGGAACCACACTTAACTACCGCCGCCGCAGAAGTTATCGGATTTCAGCGAGCCCGAAAGAACCACTGCTACGATCAGGAGTGCCAATAAGCTGCAGAGAAAAAAGATGCCGCTTACAAGGCCACGTTGTGATCGGGCGCAATACGAGCTATGTGAAGAACTACAAAGCTGCTGGAGCTCACAGCCTGCCAGCTGAGATAATCAAGTACGGAGCGAGGAGTTGATAAGCTGCATGTATCAACCCTTACGCAGAATTTGATCAGAAGAACGCATATCCCAATCCAGAAGAAAGGCGACTACTTGAAATATGCATTACTTACATGGAAAGGAATAAGTCCTCAAAAACTTTTTACGGTGAACTTTTTTTTGCTTGTAAGGTCGTACGGTCTAATGTACATACATACAAATTTTCAACACTTTAACTTACCTTGGATGGAAATGCTAACAAGTAGCTCTGCTGTAATTTTGCTGAAAGTTATGCAGTTGATGATTATTCTTCGGTCCGTTCTTTGGTAATATGCCACGATGTCTTTGCTGGGGACGTGAAGTACAACTATTGATGCTGGAACAGTTTCGGCTTAAAATGTATATTATAAGGAAAAAAATAATATTTAGCTTTTCACATATAATTATGTAGTTACATAGACACATCTAATAGTTTAACCCTGGAAGATCAAGTTAGATTTAAAATATGCGTAGCCTAAACGACGAACGATGAACGACGAACTTTGTGTACGTTTGTCATTTCAAAGTAATTTTCTAATTTGGTTTTCTTTGTTTATATACATCCTACTTCCTACTAATCCTACTAAAATATGATATAATGTATGCTTGTTTCGCACACAGATAGTGTATGAGCTGGCCTAAAAGTTGGTTCCTTTTTCAAACGAGTTCCAGATAAAAAAAGATAAACAAAATGTATAAGTTTAATCAAATATCGACCGCTGTGGTGTAGTGGTCAGCAGTGCGCGCTTCTACTCTAAACGGGGTTTTCTTCGCACCGGCCGTCCCTCGATATGAAAAACAGATTCTCATAAAAATACAATTGAGTAAAACTATAGGTCCCTCCGCTTTGTGTGACTGCATCAAGGCGCACGCCACAAATCGGAGGAGAAGCTCGGGCAAACACTAACATATGCGTGAGCGCCAATCTATTATTATTATTGATCAAATATATTCAACAATTTTATTGAGCTTAAGGCCGTTTTTTAATGAAAACTAGTGTGGATAAACTAACAATAATTTATAAATGGTATAAGTGATAGGTATTTTGGAAATCATCACATTTCCTCATCAGACTTCTTCAGCGGGATTCGAACCGACGACCCCAGCTGACTCAGCCAGTCGCCTTATAAACTGTTGTTGCCTTTTCCACTTTTTTCATGTGAGCCAACTACAATCAAGAGCAGCTATTCAGCTGAAATTTACACTTGATCATGTGGTTGTTGGTTTTGTTAGTTTTCGTTATCTTCTGTCTATACTATAAACATATAAAATTAAAACCCAAAAAAACGTGAGAGCAAAACAGCCGATTTACTGGGTCGATTTCTATGATTCAAGTTTTAAAATGGCATATTTCTACCACAATAGGACACAGTGGTATTTTTAAAATGAAATTTTAATAATAAGTATGTTTAATTAAAGTATTAAGTTGATCAACAATACCACGCATTGCTAGACCGTTTGCCTTTCATGCGTTTGTGTTTAGACAGCATCAACAAACCACATATATATTTCTCTCTATTTTTTTCTCTTTTTATACTCAGCTAGCACAGCGCAAAAATAAAAAAAAACAGCTTCAGCCAAGGCACATTAAACAGGTAGTATCAGTAGAGCCAAAACAACATTTGCGTGTATTTTGTTGTTGCTTCTGGTATCGAAAGTGTCAAAAACTGTTCTGAATTTTTTCTTCTAAATCAAAGCGTGCCATGTGAAATACAAAAAATTATAAAAAATAAAAAATTGAAATTGGAAAAAATAAAAATTGATGCAACTTTCTTTCCTAGTAAATTTGTTTGCTTCTCGAAGCATTGATCCATCCTTTGCAACCGTTATATGGGAGGTAGGCGTGGTTATTGTCCGATTTCGCCCATTTTCAATACCATCCGTCCTATGCCCAAAAGAAGTCCACGTACCAAGTTTCGTTAAGATATCTCAATTGTTACTCGAGTTATCGTGTGTACA